CCGCCAGGGGGCAGTGCCGCCCGCCACCTCTTAAAGGCGCCGCGCCTTCCCCGCCTGGGAATGTGCTTGTTTGTGCCCCGGCTCTGGCTGTGGAGCTTGGAGACGGAGAGCGCGGGCCTGGATTTGGGGCGGCCCTGGCCAAGTGGTTTTCCTTTTTAAAGCGGCGATGTGGGCATTTTCTGCCTGTCCTCGGGGAGCGATCGAGGCACCGAGTTTCATGCATCAAAAGCATTTCTGTGCCCCCGGCAGCATGCAGCCCCTCCCCCAGGGTCATGCATCGGAACCGCAGCGGGCTGTGGGAGATGCAGGCGTTCCGTGAGATCATCCCTTCCCTCGAGGACAGACACATCCAGGCCCAGGATGGTGACCCTGCCGCGGGCACAGGAACACCCACGGGCCTTCTGAGGCTTAGGATGTTGACTCACCCTCTGGGTGTCCCCGTCAACTGTCAACTGAGGGAAGGGACGGGACTAGAAGCATCGAGGATAAAGGGCAGAACACTCAGTAGACCCTTTCGGGGGTGCAAGTCAGCGGCAGCCTCAGCGCCCTTGATTCACAACCCGAGCCTACCCTGCCCAAGCCCTAGTGACCTGCCTTCTCATAATGTAATCACAACCTTTCCCCTGGTTTTCCAAGTTAAAACTAGGTGAGGCTTTCCACTCGGGGCCTGGAGGAGTAAGCAGACCTGTCCCCTCTCTCCATCTCTCAGCTGGACCGCACATGTGCTGTGTGACCTTGCAGGCCACTCAGCCTCTCTGAGCATCAGCCCTCCCTCCTACCTCCCAAGAAGCCCTGCCTCATGAGAACACTTCAAACTGCAACAGGAAACACAGAATAGACAGAGGGAAAAAAAGGATAATAATTATAAAACAAATTTAAAAAGAAAAGAAAGCTGCAACCAAGCTTTAGCTATGAGGTCTAAACTGTATGGTGTTAGGAGGGTGTGGGGCACAGGGAAAGCAGAATAGAGATGTCTCTCATTGTAATAGTGCCCCTGGCAGGTGTAAGTGCTCAGTAAAAGTGACTGAATAAGTGAATGTCAGGTAAGCCCCCCCAGGTGGTCCCTGGCCTCTCAGACACAAAAGATGCAAAGGTGGCCCTGGACAGTTTCCTCAGTGGTTAGAGCGTCGGCCTGTGCAGCAGTGTGGCAGGTTCGATTCCGGTCTAGGGCACGTGCCTTAGTTGCAGGTTCAGCCGGCCTGTCAGGATGTATGCAGGAGGCAACCAATTGATGTGTGCCTCTCACATTGATGTTTCTGTCTGTGTGTCTCTCCCCCTCCCTTCCATCCTCTAAAAGAAAAAAGAAGAAATCAATGGGAAAATAAAATAAAAATTTTAAACCTCAATGGGAAAAAAATCCTCTGTTGAGGATTAACAAACAAACAAACAAAAAAAAAGATGCAAAAGTGGGAAACTCCAGAACAGGAACCTAAAGAAGAGATGTCCACATTCCCCCTGGGAGGCAGGTGAACCATTAAGGGGATTCAATGGGCAAGTCCATGGCCGAGGGCCACCTGGGAGAGGATGCCGGAACTGTGGTGGAGGGAGGACCCTGGGGAGGAAGGACTTTGCCAAGGGGCAGAAGTGGGCCACCTGGACAGCCCTCCTAACCCTAGTCCTTCTGGGAGAGAAGGAGGCTTTGGCAGGTGAGACAATGTCATGATTGAGAATTCATTCCTCAGATTCAGCTGAGGACTTGAATTCTAGCTGTGTGACTTTGAACAAATGCCTTAACCTCTCTGGACCTTACTTGCCTCATCTGAGCCCCACAAGATGGTGTCTATTAGTAGGAGAAAACTGAAGTAAATCGTGATATCCCCGTTCTGCACCAGTTTGGCACAAGTAGTTAAATGGGCTGGTTCAAGATGTAGCCAGATGGGTATGACCTGTTATCTGAGTGACTGTGGGAGAGGTAATAAAATGTCTGAACCTTGGTTTTGTAATCTATTAAATGGAAGTGACTCTCAAGCCTAGTTCATAAGATTGTTGAGAAGTTTAAATGGGTGTAAATTCATAAAGGACTTTGAACTTGTAAAGGACTATACATTTGTGACGGAACTCAATTCATAAAGGGCTATATCAGACACGCCTTATGAGTGGTAGTCACTGCTGTGCTGTTACTATTACATCATCCATACAATGGACCCACCTTTAAAATAATATCTGTTCATTCACTAAATATTTATGAAGCACCTACTATGTGCCAGGCACTGGGATACAGCAATGATGAAGACTGCAAAATCTCTGTCCTCCTGGAACTTACATTCCCATGGAGCCATGGATGAAAAGGGGGGTTTTATGGAAAGTAATCTCTAGGTTGATCTGATCAGAAATCCCTATCTGGACCGGTCATGGTAGGTAGTCCTATCCCAGGTGTGTGACTGCAGTGACAGGTTAAGCTCTGCCTTAAGGAGGCCCTGCCCATTGTTTCTGTGCATCTAGGTGAACACACCTTTGAAATTACTCTTTTCAGGCCCCTCCTTCTAAAGCCTGACCCCCTTCGAGGGAGCACAGAATCTTAACCACCCTATGACCCCACCCCTGCCTTGCTTCCTCCCACCTTCATGCAATCTGCCTTACCTCTCCCCTTAATTCCAAATGCGTACAAGAAGCTGCAAACTCGTTTCTTGAAAGCATTTTTCTCATTCTGTTGAGATCTTTCTTCCAGATGTGTCCTCTGTTTAGTCCTTCACCAAGCTGAACATGAATTTGAATTTTTTTTCAAATTCATCCTTTTAAAATAGCACTTTCCAACAAAACCAAATTAGCATTATCATATTTTAAAACATTAAAAACAGCCCTAACCAGTTTGGCTCAGTGGATAGAGCGTTGGCCTGCTGCCTGAAGGGTCCCAGGTTCGGTTCCGGTCAGGGGCATGTACCTTGGTTGCAGGCCCATCCCCAGTGGCGGGGTGTGCAGGAGGCAGCTGATCGATGTTTCTCTCTCATCGATGTTTCTAACTCTCTATCCCTCTCCCTTCCTCTCTGTAAAAAAATCAATAAAAATATATTTTTTTAAAAAAAACATTAAAAACAGCTCCATACTGTCATATAAACCACCATATTTAAGTACCCAAATTGCCTCTAAAACTTTACAAGTGGTTTGTCCCAACCAGGGTCCACACCAAGACCTTGCACTGTCCCCGGATGTGCCTCCTGGGCCCTTCTGACCGGTTTCCCCCGTGAGAGAGACTCAGTGGATTGTCCTACAGGAGGGCTAGCCTTCTGGGTTGCTCGGGTTGCTTCCTCGTGGTGCCATTAAGCTTGTTCCCCTTTCTCTGCATTTCTTGGAAACTGGAAGTTAGATCTAAAGTCTTGATTAGATTCAACTTCAAAGTTTCGGCTGAAGGATGTTATAGATAACGTTATGCGTCCCGGAAAATACATCAGGTCTGGTTGTGCTAAGATTTTTACATATGTACCCACCCACATGACCACCGCCTGAATCCAGACAGAGAATGCTCCTAGCTCCCCAGCTGGCCCCCCCACCCATATAGTAGCCCCCACACAAAGGAAACCTCTATTCTGACTTTTATCACACAGGTGAGTTTTGCCTGTTTCTATACTTCATAGAGCTGGAATTTTATAAGAAGAACTCTTTGGCCCTAGCTGGTTTGGCTCAGTGGATAGAGTATCAGCCTGCGGACCCAAGGGTCCCAGGTTCGATTCTGGTCAAGGGCACGTACCTCAGTTGCAGGCTTCTCCCCGGCCCGGGGCCCTGGTCAGGGCACGTGCAGGAGGCAACCAATCGATGTGTTTCTCTTACATCAATATTTCTCTCTGTCTTTCCCTCTCTCTTCCACTCTCTCTAAAAATCAAAGGGGAAATATCCTCAGGTGAGGATTAAAAAAATAAAAAGAAGAAGAGAACTCTTTGACTCAGTATTATCAGTGAGATTGTTGGGGGCAGAAATAGAACAGTAGAGACTAGCTATAGTTATAAGAAATATTAATCATGCTCTGTTAACCCACGATTGTTTTGTCCTGATTAAAGGAAGCATATTCTGATCTGGCCGGGAATTGTATGCCCCGGGACCTGGGAGTTAACCTTGGAATTCCGTCCATTCTCCTTATCCAAGAACTGCCTATCAGCATGGAAAGACTGGAGTCCACCCTTTGCAACCGGCCCCTTTACCCACTCTTATTCCTT